GAGAGACTCTCTATGTTGGGGTGTGCCCCTTAGGGTCCTTTTTAGGAGAGAGAGAGTAAAGAGAGAAAATAAGAGAGTAGGGAGGAGGGGCATGGTCCCTAGGCAAGAGAGAGAGAGAGTTTATGGGAGAGGGATGTGTGTTGAGATGGGGGAGAGCACCTCTAGTTATAGTGAAATTTAGGTCTAGGGTTTCTTTAGGGTTTCCTATAGTCTGCCTCTTTTTTGAGATTGAATATGGAATGTTGATTAAGGTGACTTGTGTGTGCGAGATCTAAAGCATCCATTTCCAAGATGAGCCATCAACATTATGGAAGGTGCATGAACCATTGTCCCTCTTTCTTTAAACCATTTTCCTATCAATATATTTAAATAAATTAAATCCATTAAAGATACAGTGCATACCATAAATTGCATATTATATCTCATATTTTTCATAAGAATATTTCAATAATATCAAGTCAAAATATTCCTTCAATAATCAAGATAAGATATGGTCAATATTTCTTAATCAATATTTGACCACATGCTACAAGATGTAGTTACTATATTTAACAAACTTGAAGACAAAGCAACAAGATAAGGTATCCAAGGGTGGGGCGTGCTGTCCATGTATGGTATGTGGGGCCCCACCTAATACTCACATGGTGGGCCAATGTGCACTATAGGCCCCCATGTACTTTTTTTTTAATAAAAATATTTTAAAATTTAAACAAAATGAATTTTAAAATATTATAACTTTATAAATTAATAACTTCGTTTTTATAAGTCCAAAAATAAGAAATAAAATATCAAATGACCTACAAAAATTCAAATAATAAATCTAAAATAATTTAATAATAAAATCAACACAATTAAATTAATATGATGGGAAGTGGATCCATGTGGTTCAGGAATTCAATCAACGATAACGGGGTACTCCACCTTCAACTTTGCACTACAGACCACACTTGCTTTATCGAACCGACTCAGTGTTTTTCATGACCTACAGTCCAAGCAAGAGCTCATTAGCAGGTCACCAAAGTCTGGTCGATGAGCCAAGGAGTCTCATTCCCAGTCTGTGGATTACAAGTCCTCCCCTAGAGACAAATTAAGGTCACCATGACCTGATGCGACCACAACTCTATGGCGTATAGGGGTATCTCTCGCACATGCATATGCTTCACCAAAATGTGGATATCTAGCTTTCCCGAACGATCTATCTATATGCATGTCGTGTGATGAAACATGAATGAGGATTTGGCCCCCGTCTCTGTAGGCCTACCATCATACACAAGGGTCACACAGTCCCTCGGCTCACTCATCTAGGCACAGGCTCCGACATTATCAAAGGCTAACCCAAAAACCCTTTTCAGTTTATTTTTTATGCCCAGGTACCTTGGGTTTTCTAACCGACTGACCTAGATCGTCAAACACAGTCCGTTATCCGCAAATATCATTTACTTAAGTATGGTCTTCGAGCGACCACACTCCCACTAAGTTTATGTTCTACTATAGTAAATGTTTTTCATTACATACTTATGAAGCCTTTGAAGGTCACATAGACCCAACAATTATTAATCATGAGCAGGGTAACAAGCATAAGTATTTGTGTTTTTTAATTTGGGCTTTTTGGTGGGTCAAATTAATGAAATGCCCTAATTGCTCACTTCAATCCTAAACAAGAGCAATTTAGAAATTTTTTATTTTTGAGAAAGTACACAAGTGAAAAGAAAAAGAAAAATTAACATCTCAAATATTAATAGGGATCATTTTGACCTCTTAAGTGATTTTGTATTGGGTTTTAATTTTTAACCCGATAAATGATACTTACACTTTAATAAATAAATAAATAAATAAAAGGGGGAGTTGTTAGGGTTCATACGTTTTGGAGATTGTAGCTGTCTTCTTAAAAGTTTAGTAACAATTATCTCCTATAAATTATCCTATAAATTAAAACTATCTTTATTTTAGTACTATAAATTCTATTGCGCATAATAATTTGATAATATCCTTGTAACATGAATTGATCACGATAGTTAGGGTATTCCATTGTTATCACGACAAAAACATTTCTCAATAATAAAATGTATGTAATATGAAAGAAAAATTAGCCATTTGAATTTGAAAAGGAATATTTTATATAGTTAGAAATCGCTCAAAAAATCTAAATAATGCAAATGGGGAACAATTTGTAAGAAATTCAAAATGGATTGGCAAATTAAAGATATTAACATGGATACTGAGCTTGGATAGTTTAATTTCCATTGATATAAAAAAAAATAGTCAACTTTGTCTTTCTTAAATTTTGAGCGTATTTAATATCTTGATAATCTTTCATGAATCGATTTTTGTTAATTGTGAGAGCCTTGAGACATACAACCTGGAATCAATTTCAGAACAAAAATCTCATTACCCAGAACTTTGAACGTATTTATTATAGATTAGTCTATAAAGAGACCATTTGTCTTTTGTACATGGAGGTCGCAGTCCTTCACACTCATTGGATGTCAAATTAGATAGCTTAGGATGTGACATAAAATTCAATTTTTTTTTTTTTGAAAATTTATGTCTAGTTAATGACCCATTTTGAAATGGGCAAGCTTTCTATGCTCCCCCTACATCGTAGAAGTTCTATCCTCTCCCTACCATCCAGCCGTCCAATTTTAATCAAGAGAGCCACTCACCGTTTGATCTTAGATCCGACGTCTCAAAGTATTTTATTTTTATACAAATTGTATGATTATGAAATTTGATAAGTGCCATCTTCTCATTGGGGCGCACCTATAAAAAATATTAAAAATAATTTTTTGATAAAATATAATGACCAAAATACCCCTTGAATCTTTCAGGGGTATTTAGGTCATTTTATTTTATTGAAAATAGTTTTTTTTTATATTTTTCACTAGTGCGAGTTTAATAGAGGAATGGACGTCCAAAATTTGGTGTCAAAACAGTTTATAAAAAAAAATTAAAAATAAAATAGTATAAAGATGTGACATTGTGATTGGGGCAGTCTTAGCCCTCCATTCAGAATGGACGGTTGGATAAAGGGAAAGATAAAACTTCTATGCTGTAGGGGAAGCATAGAAACCTTTCCCTTTTGAAATTTAAGGAACAAGAATGATTGTGACCTTCATGTACAAAAGATAAACACTTTGTAGACAATCCCATTTATTATTTATAATTTGAATTCATATTCATTAATGTTAATAAAGTGTTATTTTGTAAGTATAATTTAAATAAAAGTCCTAGTAATTATTATGTAAATTCACTATTAGAATTACAAAAGTGATAATATCCTTAATATCTCAATAAAATTACGAGACCCTTATAAAAAAGAGATGAACTATTTAACATCTCATCCTTTTTTCTTTATTCGATTTCATACCATCTTTAAATACGTGATCATGTGTTAGAATGTTTTATATTTTATATGTATTTTTTACAATAGATAAAATGTTAAATAATATAGTGTGAGAATTCTATGAAAATACTCATGAAAGATGCACTATTTAAAATTTTACATATTTACAACTATTCTAACAGATATGTTATTTTCATGGGGTATTTTGAAATAACATAAAATAATATGGATTAAATGTTAAATAGTATATGTAGCATTAATTTTTTGATAAGTTTCCCTTAATTAGTATAAGCCTTCTAATGAATAGTGCGGGTTATATAAGGCCGCAACCTTATTTGTGGAAAGTTGTGATGCATGTACTGTCCATTTTACTTGAGACGTGAATTTGACTTTTCTTTTAAGACAATCTAAGAGAGGCGCAGCTTTTAACATAACATCAAATCCATGAAAAAGTTTATATAAGGTTGCACCTCAAAAACCAATCCAAAAATGTTGTTTTAATCTTGACAAACTCTCTAATTGATCATCTCGTACGAATATAAAAAAGAAAAAATTTCAAAATCTCAGAAATAGTGCTCTTATAAAATATTATCTAAATTATCAATTTTCAAGATTTTAATAGCTTATAGACCTACTTGATTGGAACTATTTTTTTAATTTACAATTTCATAATTAGAATTGAAAATAGATTTTTTTACAACTCTAAAATTTTTTTACACCAACATTACATCTTAAGATAAGGTGCACATTGTTTAAGTTGCAAAGATATTATCTGCAAGTAAGATTAGAGCCATATATAAGCTTTTTCATTTGATAATTCCCTCTAATTGTTGGAGAAAAGATTCACAAGCTCGTGAAGGAAGGCGCTTGAGATTGCAGTACATTTTGAGATCAAACTGTTCCACCTAGAGAGAGAGAAAAAAAGAGGTGACAGGCCGAGAAATTAGCAAGATTTAGGCTCCTCAAAAGCAAGAAGGCAGCCAGAGAGAGGGCCGGTTGGGAAATTTTGTTTGGCTAATGCCGGCTCCGAGAGAACCTAATCCACTATGGAGAGAGAAGAAAACTGTAAAAAGATTTGGTCCTAAACAATCCTCTTTTTTTGAACATGAAGAAATAAAGAAGCCCTTGCAATTGCCAGAAAAAATAGGTCTATTAAAGACACAAAACTGAGGCTAACTAGTAAGGATACTGGCTATATAAACGAGGAATAAAGCATCCAGAACTCCAATCCAAGTCTTCTCAGCAGAGGGAAATGTATATATATATATATATATATATATATAGAGAGAGAGAGAGAGAGAGAGAGAGAGAGGTAGGAGTACTAATAGAGCGTACTCTTACGTAGTAACGTGTGTACGTTCGACGTCGTACTACTACCGTAACCAAACCTAACTAACTAACGTA